GATAAACGATAAGAAATATCCGCCCTATAGTACTTTAGTTGGGGTCGGTAAGCGACAAAGGAGCGAGAAGAGATCCATGTGGCTAGTACAGCTCTCACCGTCCTCTCGTCGTCAATCACCGGATAGCCGCTAAGCCAGAGCGAGGTCTCCTTCTTCTGTGCAGACATGGTCCATCTGCTCATTGTTTCTCAAAGTGGCCCGTGCGAGGAAGATAGGAGTCACCGCTACTCTCAATAACCGATATACTAAAGGTGTCTTACTTAGCTTTTCTCGCGGATGGTTGGATGATTCGAGCTACACGCCGGGGTGCCTCCGTACCGTTTGCGGTAACTTTTCGTGTCTACTCCCTTAGTGTCTCTCTATACGGGTCTGAATTACGGTTAGTTCCACTCGCTGGGACTTCAAGAGATAGACCAGTAATTGTTTACATACACGCCGCCTCGCTAGCCAGATTCACCATCAAACGCCTAAAGAGATCGGCGCACCAAAGTGAATGATGCTCCGTTCTTATGATTATTACTTCGCACAGGCTTGCCTCGTCTGTGTTTCCACTGGATCCGCCGATATAAATTCACTAGCCAGGAACGCGTGATTATCTAACCAGTATACATGATATTGATTGCAGCTAAAGGTAACTTAATATTGTCACTGTGTTGGTTCGGCTGCTGTCCTACCGCGTCTACCCCGGTAGGCCGTCGCGTCAAATAGAATGCATGTAGCTCCGTCGCTGCAATTCACAGCAGATGCAGAGGTCGCCACCGTTTCGGTTAGCTGTCAACGACGAAGCCACAGTTATAGGCGCGCTCTGCGCAATCGCGACAAAACATTTTCCAGGGTCGATTATTGAAAGACAGAGGGGGCACCACCGTCGTGTACTTGGTACTGAGCCAGGATAGGTATTGACAATGTCGTACGACAGCTATCGACCGAAGGGACGTTTACCATCATGGCAGAGAATTTGCGATGTTGTGTGCGGTTCGCATCTTTCTGGTGATTGTGCGGATCGGCCATCATAAAAGTTTTCCCTGTCTGGGCGATTTATGACGAGTGTATGTCGATCGAGGCCAAACGTTGCATACGTTATTCGGGCGCAAAAAGTATTTGGTATAGAAAACGGTATCTTTGGCCCGTAACGTGACCCAGGCAGTCTGGGTGGCTCGCATTATGTGCGGTCCTTGGCAGGTAGGGTATGACATTGCTATTCGAAAACAATGAGAAAGGACTCAGTTCCGGGCTGAAAAGCATTAGATAATTCTTTAGATTTTTCACTGATACTTTCGTCTGCAGTACTTTCGGGGTACTCTCCCGTCATTTATCACGATGATCACAAAGACTAAAATAATGGGAACAGATCTGCAAACGTGTAATAATGAAAAATATTATTTACTGCTTATGCTACGGATCACCGAGCGGATAACAACTATTAAATAACGATAATGAAAATGCTACAAAGAAAAAAGAGACGCCTATTGGACGATACTGAGGGAAATGAGAAGCAAGTGTCTCGAGCAAAAAGAAGAAGAAAGTGAAATTTGTCATGGAACATCGAGAAGGATCGCGTTCCGGTAGAAACAAAGGTAGCTATGTCAACATAGCGCTACACTTTGCTACTGCCCGGTGGATTTCGCGGCTAGCCTTACATGTTTCTATGTGAACCCTACATTGACGGTGTCGTTGCGTATTCGCTTTCGTGTTTGCCTAACGAACCTTGTCCAGACGGGGAGTTGGGGGTTCAACGAGGCCAGGTGTGAAACCCCACATTGACATTGGGTGTGTCACTAGAGGAGGAGAAGTGAAATCATTCTAGCATACTGGCTGACATTCATTGCATCATGGTTCTCATTTGGTCAAACATACATAGGTTTTTGTGATGCCGAGCCTGCATTCTGGGAAGGGAGATTTGGCAACTACTTCTCTGCGAAGAGCTGTGACGGCTCTAGATTGTCCTGTCCCTTTACTTCGCGACATTTGACTGCCGGACCAAACTACCTTTTGTTCTGCTGGCCACGATTTCGCTTATGCACCTTGGAGAGCTAGTAAATGCACAGCCGCTCTGCCTTCGCACATAACGATCTTGGCCACCGCTATTCATGAAAACTTTTTGAATGGTCGTCCACGGCATGAACGCCCGTAACCTTGTCCGCACCTTCTCTCCTTCATATCACTAAAGCGGGACATTTTCTTCTTGACTTCTAAGCAGTTTTAACGTGTTCACGCTTCTCTACTCTCATACCGCCCTGTTGTCCCAACTTGGGACATCTGTGCTATCAACGAATCGTCTCTTAATTATGACTTCTCTCCCCTTCACATAGATTGCAAAACGAGATATTTAAAACCGTTCCTCAAAGCGTGGAAACCTGCGTCTCCTATATACAATTTATGAGCCACCATTAAGGCTAAGTACATCTGTGTCCCTTGTAGATCTATCGATTAAACGGAATCGTACATACTTGTTGTAATTTAATGGATATCATTCTCTTCACCCCTGAAATTGTATGTCCTAAGAGATATAACCCAACCTGTGTAGGGAGATAGAGACGGAGTCAGAATTGGACTCGATATTCGAAGAAGTTAGTTGTCACCGATTGAATTTCACCACTGGAGTCGGCGCGTACTGAATGTGCGGGAGCAAGAAGTTAATTACACCAGAACAAGGAAGCGGAACGGATATTTAAGTTAGATGACTATAGATTCGTCTGCTAACATATCGTGACTGTTCAATAAGAATTTCACGTAATAATGAGAGAATCTCGAGTTCAAAGTTTGTCGAATAGTACAGAACAACGGAGTGCGTGTATTATTGCTGCACAACATCACGCTGGTCGTCTGAGCGCACTTATGAGCATTGATTGTTGGGGTATGTTTCGGAAAGGATTGGTGACAATCAAGGATGATCTTGAGGTTGTTGAGTAGAGGTAACAGGATGCAGTGTCGAAGCCAACCAGCAAGAACGGAGCAGCAGAAGAGGAAGGAGACAGCACTAAATTAGACAAAATTCGAACGCGTGTGAGGGGTGATGTTATTCATAACGGAACTTGATTGAACATTTCGCTTCGATAGACGTTGCGAAAAGCGGCAGCCAATCAACCAGGTGTGGATGCCGAGAACAGTGGAACCGCAATTCATAGTCGACCGAACGGTAAGAAACCGCAATAATTACTCAAACCAGCAAAACAAGAAAGGAAAGATTTTGGCGGAGTTCAGCACAGAGATTAGATATTGCTCGAGTACGCGTGCTCGTTCCGGAACTACCCACCAGCCCGGGATCGGGGTGTGATCTGACTCGCCTGGGGATTACTTGCTCGTTCCACACGACCTTCGTGGTGTGCGAACACCTCTCCCAGGTTTACGACATTATTACACGCATGACGATTAGGGTTGTTATGACGCACCTGCAGCAGAAGTCTGAAGTCTGACACACACGATCTCAGACACAAAGCAAACTGACTAGTGCTGGTTTCTTTACCGTGCCCGTCTCAGTGAGCGAGCCGCGCAATGCCCACTCTAGGCAATTCACTCTGTTTCTCGTACGATGTAATCGGCATGTGTGACGAAAGATTAGAAGTGCGTAGCAGCGCGGGTAGTGTGTTCCATCGTTTTCGGTCCAGCGTCGCACGAGCCGGAGTCTGGGCATGGATCGCGCGGGCCGTCGCTACCACGTGGCAAACGCCGCCAGCGAGGCGCGGTCATTGAGAACATTTGAGAGATTTTCAGCGAAGGGAAGCGAGAGGGAAAGATGGTGAGGTATTCTTGATAAACCGTCATTGGATTGGAGCAGCGATGGAGGTGGTGTCAAATTGTGACGCCGTCAGTTTCTGACTAGTTTTGCTATTCCTGGTCTTAATACTTTCGATTATATCGTACTTTTATTTTTACTTTGATGGTTTATTTAAGTTTTTATGGAGTCTTTCGGATCTAAAGGTACTGAATGTATTGATACTCGGACTGAGAATTAATTTATTTGTTTAGGTTAGCGTAGTCTCGTTCGGGACACTGATTACCACGATCGAGTAGGGTTCATCGAATGCCTAGTTGCTGAACTTATATAATTACTGTGTGCCAAAGGAAGCTATTGGCACTATTTTTCTGTCTTTAGATTACGGTGTTAGTTCTCTTGGAAGAATAAGATACCAAACATGTTTCTCATAAGTTCTAGATTTAGAACGCATATCTCAAGCCTGACGGCAATAGGGCAGGAGCTTTAAAGATTGTATACTGCCCTGACTGTACTCCGATTGAATGATTATGATTTATAGGTTTGTCATAATATTGTTGCGTCTAGATGTTCCTACACGACGTCGCACTGGTGTGGAAATTAGTAATTTTGAGACCAAATTGAATGGAAGCACCTAAGTGTTCTGCGAAAGACAAGTATTGAATTTAGTTCATTCCGAAGGGATTTACAAACGAATTACAACTTGAACTCGATTATGATCTACTCTGTGAAGAAGCGGATGATAATGTTCGAATCATGCCCCGATGTTTTTTGAATTGGGCATCAGTGATGAATCTCATGAGGTATTGATATGATATGATATTATGATATGAAATATGAATGAGTAGCTGATATGACTATTGATATGATATATGGTATGACTAGAGTATTTTGATATGAGTAGCTGAATGATGATATGATATGACTATGATATGATATGATATGGATTGATACTCAGCAATAGTGAAGGTATTGTGCGATTTCGCTGCTTCAATTGACACTGTATATTGGTGTGATACGAGAAGCTAATGATATCGATATTATACGTAGTATGATATATGATACAATAGGATATGATATCCTATGACGTATATAATAGACTAATGGTATGCTGGATTGTTTAGATTTTCGGTATTTTAGTTGAGGCATAGATTCTATAAAACGCATGGTTAAGTGGGCGGTATTTGAACTGTGGACCATGACTATGAGGGATTATAAGTGAAGCGAAAGTATGTATTACGTGTGTAGCGTATTAAGAGTACACGGCGTAAGCATGAGGGCACGAGGAAAGAAGCCGGCAAGCGACAGTATCAGAGAGTGTGGCTACATCCCTGCATGATCACATGTATTGGCTAGCAGATAGTCTGTAGTGATGGGAGGCGCGGTGACGACAGCGCAGAAGGATGAGAGAGGATTTGAGACAGATCTGAAGTGTGATGTACAGTGCCAGGGAGTTACTTACCGGCCAATTAGGCCAGAGATGCGTAGTGTTTATATGGGACCAGGGGAGGGCGCGCGCTGGATGTGACATCCACAAGCAGAAATTGGCCACCAACAACTGTTACGCAGGCTCGCTCAAAGCTCGTGGGAACCAATAGCACACCCTCAAGGACTTCGGGAGCGAAGAACTTGCGACAAGTTCTGGCCTGGGTCCTAGCTAAAGGTGCGGAGGACACCCGCTTTATATCTTGGACAGTCCTGCGGTTGGTGAAAACATGGTAAAGCCGGGCGTCTCACCTGGTGATTAGCATACTTGCCGCAGAGGCTCTGGTCAGAGGACATAACGCCTCTCTCATTGCGGCCGGGAGCAGGCACCGAGGAGAAGGAGAGAAACAGGAGCGTAGGCACAAGGAGAGTGGGCGTAGAGGCGAGTGACGAACAGAAGGGAAGGGAGGGCTAGGAACAAGTGCTATTAGGACAGAAAATGCTGTTCCGGATACCGCCACGATTCAAGTCTTCGCGTGAGCCGGTCGGACTTGCCAAAGTGACGAGCAGAAGGACCCCGACTAGGACCACGGCAGCGACGAGGCTAAGGACATATTCTGTAGCAAGTGCACTAGGGGAGAGTGCACGTATGGCAGTAAATGTTGGAGACAGAAGCAGGTGACGGATCCAGGGAGCCCAGTAGCAAATGCAGGTTAGTTCAGGCGGGAGTGGTTTGGTCTTGGCGCCTGCGGCGTGCCGCGCGCGCGGCGTCAGGTACCAGGTATGATAACTGTCTTGAGTGCCCTTGATCGGTATGGAACCTACAGACTTTGGTGGATCGGCTCGAATCATCAGGATACGCTTGCTCTGATTTTTCCAGAAGGACCGTGGTTTGGTTCGCGATCTACCTTGTTGCGTCTCGGTCCGACCGGGGACGGGACTTGTGAGCGGGTCACGGTTAGTGTGGCCATATCCTGCCGGTCCCGCCAGTGCTCGCGCGGGTCCGGGTACCGCTGGAACAGTGTAACTCCGGATTACGACGCACGAGAAGCGCGCCGGCAGAGGTAGCCGGCCACCCCTCTCTCGTGGCCCGTCGCCAGCGCACAGGCACCCGGCGGTACGTTGCTGCCTTCTGCGGCCGATCCTGTTGTGCCGACGATTGGTAGCGATTCCCTTCAAGCAACGATGGCACCTGCAGTGTGTGTCAGCGGCAAGGCGTCGGTGACCGCCACACCGCCGTTCGCGTCAGGCGACAAGGTGCTTCTGCGTTACAGAGCGAATTTATGCAAATTGCCAGACTCCGCGATACACAGTCATATGCAGGTGCGCTGTAAGAATACTACTTCCCAGACCCAAGCTCTGGCTCGTACTTTGAGTTGGCGTTCAAGACCCAGCCCACCTACGAAGCAGAGAGTATCTCTGGGTGCAAGGACACGGGTTTCGAGAGAGAGTGCAAGGGGGAGGTCGAAGAGAAGTTAAGACGTTAATGATGAGAGAGTGTAGTATAAGGCAGGAATAAGTAATCAGCTGGGAGATAGTAAAGCTAGCATTGGTTGTTTAATAGGAAGAGAGATTGGAGAGAGGCTAGTGGGAGACGAGTAGGTATTTATAGGCGAGAGAGAGGAGAGGAGGAGAGAGGAGCAGAGGGAGGAGGGAGAGAGAGAAGGCAGGAAGCAGGATAGAGAGACAGAGAGGGAGAGAGATGGAGGAGGAAAGTTGCCGGCGGGCTAGAGAAGTGGAAGAGGAAGACGAGAGAGATGAGAGAGGAGACTGAGAGAGAGAGCGAGAGACGGAGGGGAGCGAGAGAGAGGGACGGAGAGAGATGGAGAGGAGACGATGGATGGAGGAGAGAGGGACGGGGGACGAGGGGAGGCGAGAGAGGAGACGGGAGAGGGAAGAGAGACGGATGGAGAGACGAGACTGGGGGGGGGAAGACCAGGAGGGCAGGACCGAGACGTAGCGAGGAGGAGCGAGCGACCCCGAAAGAGAGGAGAGACGGAGAGGCGGAGAGAGAGACCGGAGAGACGGAGGAGAGACGAGAGCCAGTCGCACGGGTCAATAGAACGAGAGGATTGGAAGAGATCCGCCACTCCCGCACACCGCCCATCCATCGAAGATGTCATTATTAGGATGGAGGAGGGACGCGATGAGGGGCAGACGAGAGAGACTCAGATGGCGATACCGAGTAGGGGCGAGGACCTCGGTCTTGCCGATGTTGACTGCAGTCGATCTGCTTTCTAATGCTGTGAAGTTATTAGATCTCGGTGGATTAACCTGACCCCCTAAAACATGGGGATAGACCGGAAGGAATTACCCTTCGTATCATAGTCATTGCGAGAAGTCTATAGCCGGACGGTTTAATGAGTACGGTGTCCCGTTTCGGGCGCGGCCAGAGGAGAAGTGACTGAGAGATGGATAGGAAGATCTGTAAAACAATGGAGGCGGATGCGAAACAGAGAGAGAGAGGACGAGAGAGATGAGAAGAGAGAAGAGATGGACAGGGATTGGAGGAGAATTCGAAAGCAGATAGCACGAGAGAGGATGAGAGAGACGAGCAGAGGAGAGAGAGCAGAAGAGAGAGAGAGAGATGGAAGAGAGAGACGTGATAGAGAGAGAGAGAGAGAGAGAGAGAGAGTGAGAGTGAGAGAGAGCGCAGTACACAGACAGATAAACAAACAAACTAATTTAACTTCTACTCGTAAATATCGCCAGGGCGCTCTAAAAAAACATTACGAGCATGAAATGTAATTAGTTCGTTAGCTATCAATGATGACGAAGCAGGTTACTAACTTTTCCACAAGAAAGTTTCCGATTTCATATATACGGTTTCATTATCCTCGAGATCAAAATCTTGTGCGTTATTTGACGATTATCTTCTAAAGAATTAAATGTATAGATAAATTAATTGGATCAAACGCTCACCATATTCTTCCGGAATCTGCTGGCCAAACAATCCGAGTTCTCCGAGCTGCTTGAGTGTCTCCGGGGGGATCACTGCATTCACATCGATCGATTTCGAATCCACTACCACAGTAATTTACAAATGAATTAACGAATTATTTAATTATTGATGACATGCCAGCATAAACGGGAAGACAAGATTTCAAGATTTCAAGATTTTTATTTGTGCTAAACGAGAATAAATCAGACAGTGGGAAAAATTAAACAGTTATAACTTTGTTAATATAATGCACGGGTATGGCGAAAGGACCTTGCGGTCATCGAGTCAGCCATACACTATAGTTACAGTACATATTACTCTGATATTACTTTCCAAGACACGATGTTGAATGATATTTACAATACTTGACGTGATCTGATGATTACAGCACACACAATCCATCACAATACACGACGTTATACTACGTACAATACACGACGTTATATTATATTACTATACATGACATGACATTATAATACAATACAACACATTACGATTAGACAACTTTATATACGTATGACATTACAAGACATGATGATATACGATATTTACAATACATGACGTGATCAGATGATTCCAACACATACAAACCATTACAATACCCGATGTAATACTACCTACAATACATGACGATATATTACGTTACAATACATGCCATGATATGACATTATACTACATATGACATTACAAGACATGATGATATATGATATTTACAATACATAACGTGATATGGCATGACGACACATTGAAAAACCATACGATAGATTACATTACAAAACATTACGTAACGTTACATTACTTTACAATACAATACCATACTGTATACATAAGACAGTGAGATTCATCGATTTCGAATTGCTTAAACATTTCTTTACATTCATCTTACACAACGAGCGACTATTTTGTCAAAATATGATATAGCTAATTCAAAAAGACCTACTACAGAATTATTAGAGCAAATATATGATACAAGTTCCTTAAATCTTATGTATGAAACACCGGATAGACTATATACAATGCTGTACAAAATAAATATAATATAGATATAATTTGATATTTACATGCATACCTTACTTATATAATATATCTTCAATTTAATACAATAGTTTCTACATATTTATTAATAAGAAACATCTTAAGATTAGATTTAAAGGAATTCAGATTGCTTACTTTTATTGATTGAGGTATATCATTCCAGCACTTTACTCCCTAGAATTTTAGTGAGTTTTGTCCTAATGATGTTAAAGTACGAGGGAGATGATATTGAGAGTGAACTGTATAACGTGTATATAACTTTTACTGGATGTAGTATATATTTAGGTGATGGTCAGGTGCCCAGCTCAGCACTGCATAATGAACATAAGGGTATGCTAAAGCATAATAAACCTGTAGGAGAGTAGATATATCTGTATAATGTCTTAATCTAGATATAATTCCTGCCACTTTAGCAAGTTTTGTGCTGAGAACTTTTATATGCGATGACCATTTTAAATTATTATCTATATATACACCCAAATATTTTATCGATTGAGTCTGTTCTATGCTCTGGTTGTCGATGGCAATATTAAATAAGTTCCTATTAATTTTTTTATTTGATATGATCAAGTATTTCGTCTTACCATAGTTTATTGAGAGCCTATTAGCCAGCATCCAATTATTAATCTTATCTATCTCAACATTTACTATATTTTCCAGATCCATTATGTTATCTTCCAAAATAAATAAATTTGTATTGTCAGCAAACAATCTAGTGTTAAAGGCAGATGCAATAGGTAGGTCATTTATATATATCAGGAAAAGCAATGGTCATAAAGTCGATCCTTGCGGAACCCCACAAGTGATATCAACCAGATTAGATTTCACATTACCTATAGATGTATACTGCTTCCTATTTTTTAGGTAATTTTCAAACAGCTTTAATCCTACCCCTCCCCCCTAATTCCATAATGTTCTAATTTACCTAGTAATATACTGTGTTGAACAGTATCGAATGCCTTTG